CACCTACGTGGCTGACTTCTGCTCAGCACCTCTTCAGGGGCACACTATTCTGGAGAGTTGGAACCTAGAGTTCCGCCCTTCTGGTTTTTTTTTGTTTTGTTTTTTTGTTTTTTTGAGATGGAGTTTGGCTCTTGTTGCCCAGGCTGGAGTGCAGTGGTGTGATCTCGGCTCACCACAACCTCTGCCTCCTGGGTTCAAGCGATTTTCCTACCTCGGCTTCCCGAGTAGCTGAGATTACAGACGTGCACTACCACACCCGGCTAGTTTTTCGTATTTTTAGTAAAACGGGGTTTCTCCATGTTGGTCAGGCTGGTCTCAAACTCCTAACCTCAGGTGATTCACCCACCTCGGCCTCCCAAAGTGCTGGGAAATTCAGGCCTGAGCCACTGCACTGTTTGAAACTGTGAGCCCAAAGACCGTATCTCAGATTCCTCTTATGCATAGTGCCACCCATTGTGGTCAACTTCTATGGCACCGTTTCCTGCACATATTTTGTCTGAACACCTTGACTACACCTCAGAGAAGCTGGGTATAGGCCGATTCCTTCACCATTGAACACATGGAGCCCAGAGAACAATGTTGGCTGCTGAGCCCCGGGGGGTGAACAGAGATCAGAGCCTCTTTTCATGGTTCTCACAGGCCATATGACAGACAGATGGGAGAAACTGGCTTCTGCAGGGCCAAAGACCTCTGGCCAAGGCACCCATACCAAAGGGGACAGACTGGCCAAAGCGGCGTTATCCCTGTCTCCTTAGGAACCGCATTCCAGTGGGATCTGTTTAGGAACACAGGTTGGGAGTATGGGTGGGGAGACCTACTCCAGGCCCGGTTCAGTCATGAGGATTCAGGAACACCTCCAACAGCTGATGCTAACTACGCTTGCCAGATAAAACATAGGTGGGATCTGAGTTTGAGAAAACAAACAAAAAATGTTTTTAGTATGTCTCACATGCCACCTGGGGCGTACATTACAAATCAGTCCGTTTATATTTGAAACTCAAATTACATTGGCCATCTTGTCTTTTTTTTTTTTTTTTGACACAGAGTCTCACATTGTTGCCCAGGCTGGAGCGCAGTGGCACCATCTCGGCTCACTGAACCTCTACCTTTTTGGTTCAAGCAATTCTCCTGCCTCAGCCTCCCAAGTAGCCGGGATTACAGGCATGTGCCACCACGCCTGGCTAATTTTTGTATTTTTAGTAGAGACGTGGTTTTGCCAACCCTGGAGCTGTCAGGAAGGCTTTTGGGTTGGGCGCTGGTACAGGGACAATTCTCTATAACAGCGTTTTTCCTCTACCCTCACATCACAACAATCAACACAGATGAGTTGTGACCAAATAAATGTGTGTGCGGGGGTTCCCCTACGCAGCAAGCAGCTGGGTGTCCTCTAATGCAGTTCTGACACTGAAAGATAGTGTCAGATCCCACAGGATGAGGGCTTAGTCCCCAAGACTGCCCCCAACAACACCCAGTAAATCTGGACCTCCAAAACTTCTGACCGACTGGTTTCAAGCTGGGATTCCCATGATCCCCTCTTTGGGTTCAGTTAATTTGCTGAAGTGGTTCAGAGGGACTGAAATTTGCAAAGGTCAGAGATGGTAGAGGAAAAAGTATGGTAAGTGTGTTGTCCAAGCCTGTCTGCAGGAGCACAGTTGAGGAGGGAACTGGGGGTGGAAGTCAGGTGGGAAAGAAGTCTGGGGCCCTGTTGGGAGGACCTTGAGTGCTATGCTGTTATGAAAGACATTAGTTTTCCTCCACGATTCCTGCCTCGTAACTCCCACAGCCCTTGTTACAGTCTTTTGCTGTAATATTGCGTGTGTTAGGCCACAGGAAACAGAATCTCTCTTCCTTCTCCAGCCGTCCTTTCACCTGCCCCAAGGCGGGACTTTAATCTTTCCTGAATGGTCATTCTTAAGATCCTCTCCAGAGAGGTTCCCATCCCTTACCCCGGGGGAAGGAATGCTGACGTTATGAAGCTTTCATAAAAACCCAAGAGGAGCTTGGATCCCTGAACACTTGGAGGTTCCTGAAGGGTGGCACCCTTTGGAGGGTGTAGAAACTCTCCACCCCTTCCCCATACCTGAATGGTGTTTTTTCATTTTTCCCTTCATGAAACTCTTCTCTGCTCCTTATATGTGCCTCCGTAGTCATTATAAGATTTTATGATAATTTTTACATGTCTCCCAGTTCCTAAGTATCTTCCACAGTGTCTAGCACATCATTTACCGAGTGATCGGTAAATAGCTGATAGAAAGAACGAATTAAACTATCTGGCTTGTGAGTTATCTAAATAGAGGTCTGTGCTTCTCATGCAAAATTGACCATGTTTTTTCTTGCCACGTGTTTTTCTTTTTTTTTGGAGATAGAGTCTCGCTCTGTTGCCCAGGCTGGAGTGCAGAGAGGCAATCTAAGCTCACTGCAACCTCCGTCTCCCGGACTCAAGAGATTCCCCTGTCTCAGCCTCTCAAATAGCTAGGATTACAGGCATGCGCCACCATGCCCGACTAATTTTTATATTTTTAGTAAAGATGGGGTTTTACCATGTTGGCCAGGCTGTCCTAGAACTCCTGACCTCAGATGATCTGCTCACTTTGGCCTCCCAAAGTGCTGGGATTAGAGGTGTGAGCCATGATGCTCGGCATCAAATAATGTTTTTATCAATATTCATCTGGAATTCCCTGCCAGACTTTTCATTCTTTGAAAACACTACATTTCCTTCTGTACTGCAGACACCAATGTTTCATGAGTATATATTGTGTTGAGTGGAATTGTGGGAAGGGAGTATATCTGGGAGACCATATCAAGCTAGAGCCCAGATTCTCCTTTCTGCTCCAGTTCAGATCTGACTCTCAATCAATCTCTTTTTTTTTTTTCTAGATGGAGTCTTGCTCTGTTACCAGGCTGGAGTGCAGTGGCGCTATCCTGGCTCACTGCAACCTCTGCCTCCTGGGTTCAAGTGATTCTTCCACCTCAGTCTCCCAAGTAGCTGGGACCACAGGCCCATACCACCACGCCCGGCTAATTGTTTTGTATTTTAAGTAGAGACCGGGTTCCACCACGACCAGGATTGTCTCGATCTCTTGACCTCGTGATCCGCCCGCCTTGGCCTCCCAAAGTGCTGGGATTACAGGCATGAGCCACCGCGCCGGCCTCTCTCAGTTAATCTCAAAGCCACCTGGCCTAGTCCTGGAACTGAAGAATAGACACAGCTTATTTGTGAGATGCAGGGTTGTGTGTGTCCGGGATGAGGGGGTCTAGATTAAATGTGTGTTCCAGGAACCATCCCAGAGTTTCCCTTGGGGCTGGCATGCTGCTAAGAGAGTCAAACAAGGTCGAGGGACAAGAAGAAAACCTGGAAACAGCAAGAGAGTGGGGCAGGGGCTGGAGGTGGGGGCCGAGGCTAGAGAGAAATAGACAACATGAGTGTCGGATGCAGCAGAGAGAGCACTGTTTTAAAATTCTGGCAACCTGTATTCTTTCTCTGGTTCTGTCCATGCCTTGAGCCATGAAGGAAGGAAAAAATACATATGCATGCCTACTGTGTCATTTCATGTAGATTTTATTCCAGTTTCCCAACAGTCCTGCAGGAAGCTGGGATGGCAGATTATTGGCCTACAGACACATAGCCAAGTCTACCAACACAAATTAACCGCTCGACGTTAAACGAAGTAAAATGAAGTTAGGTTTAATTTTTAAGTATCTTTAAGTTCCTTTCCTCTCTGACTTCTACCAGCAGAGCAGTTCTACTAGTAACAAAGCAAAACAAAACACCCAAACAACTCTCAACCATGGGGCAAGAGAAACTAAGGAATCGATATTGAAAGGCTAGGGGGACCAGGAGAAGTGGCTCAGGCCGAGGCCTGTAATCCCAGCACTTCGGGAGGCAAAGGTGGGCAGGTGACCTGAGGTCAGGAGTTCCAGACCAGCCTGGCCAACAAGGTGAAACCCTGTACCTACTGAAAAATACAAAAATTAGCCATGCATGGTAGCATGCGCCTGTAGTCCCAGCTACTCAAGAGGCTGAAGTGGAAGAATCTCTTGAACCCGGGAGGCGGTGGTTGAAGCCACTGCACTCCAGCTTGGGCGACAGAGACCCTGTGTGAAAACAAAACAAACAAACAAACAAAAACAATGGCAGGGGAACGTGTGCAGTGTAGAGAAGCCTGGATGAGAAGACCAGGGAAGTCCTGAGCTAGCTTGGGAGAGATCTTCGGGAGTGGGGCGTAGGCATGAGCCCCTGCCTCTCTCTGCCTGTTCCTCACAGGGTCACGGCAGGTAGAGAGCTGGAATTCGAGTGGGCCCTAGGACTCAGCAGTAAAGGATCCTGGCGGCAAAGATTGCGAATTACACATATAAATTTGGGAGAGGAAAAGCAAGCGGACTTCCTGCAGCCCTTGGGGGTTGGGAGTGGGGTGAGTTTCCTGCGTCCCTGACCCCGCTTGGGGGTTGGGAGTGGGGTGCGTTTCCGGCGTCCCTGACCCGGGAAGGACGCTGTTTGGTAGCAAGCACCTAGCCAGAGAGTGGCTGGGCACCTAGCCAGAGCATAGCTGGTAGGGCGCAGCTAAGGGCTAGAGGACTTCATCTGAGAACCCGACTTGGCTAAGGTAGCCAGGGGAGGGTGAAGTGTTATTTCCCAATTCCCATCCTTGCGCCCCCTGGCTTAGCCCACGCAGCCTGGACAGAACCGGGGGAGGGGTGCACCTGCAGCTCCCGGCGGCCCGGTTGACCTCGAGGACCCCAGGTTAGGAAGAGCTTCCAAGCGCTCCCACAGGAGCAGAGAGTTCGGATGGGTGGCTCCCCAAGTGCACGCCGCAGCCCGTAGGGCGACAGCCTCGGAAAAGGCGCATCTCAGGCTGTGGGTTTCTCGGGGGGCGCAGGGGCTCGCAGCAGCCGCGGGTTGGCTGAGCCGGGAGGGAGGGAGTCCTCATTAGCATATCCCCGCCCCCCCTCCCCCCTCCCCCGCGCGCCGCCGGGCCCAGCCACCCGAGCGGAGGCGGCCGCGGCCAGCCCCGCAGTGAATGGACTGGCGGCGCCCAGCTCTGTCCCGCCCGCTGCCGGCCCCCGCGTCTGCTCCCTCCCCGCCCCGGCCCCTGCCGGCCGCCGCCAGCGCCCTCCCCGGCTGTGAATGAAAGGCGGGCGCAGCCGAGGGCTGACTGGGAACGCCGCGGCAACGCCGGCCTCCCGGGAGGCGCGCGCCCAGCCAAGATGTACGGTAAGGAGAGCTCCGCGCCCGGGCTGGGCCCCCGGGGGCGACTCCGCAAACTTCCCGGGCGCGGACCACTGTCCCCCAGCGCGGCCCTGGCGCGGATCCAGGCCGCGGACCTGGTGCCCGCCGGGGCTGTTGCGGTCGCTCTGTGCGCGCGCGTCTGTGCTGCGAGGACAAAGATGCCTCGGGCCGGGGACCCTGGGGTCCTCTCCGGGCCCGGCGCGTGCCGGCGCTGGGCGGTGGTCCTTTGGGGGGCGGAGGCTCGGGTGAAAGCGGGTCTCCCGAGCCGCGCAGACCCGGAGTGCTGGAGGAGGTGGTCGTGTGGCGGCATTTGGGGAATTAACAAAAGCGGTTTGTGACTGGGAGTTTTCTGCGGGGAGCCGGTCCTGGGCTGAGGGAGACGCCCGCGGCCGGTAGTCTGCGCGGCTCGGAGAAGGCGGGAGGCGGCGCCGGCGGCGCAGAGGCCCGGGGAGCAGCCAGTGCCCGAGTCTCGCCTCTCCGGCCTGGATGGATTCGGCCTCCGCCTGCCCCTAGCACCCCGCAGGGTCCAGGTTCCCCAACTTCCAGATTTGCCCTCCGCAGGGATGAAGGGAGGAGACGCTGCTGAGAGGGTGCAGCACAGCCCTGATCCCTCCCCGCCTCCACCGCCTCCCCTCCACTGCCGTGCAACAGTTAGACCCTCACGATGCGCGGCTCTGCTTGATCATTTGCCAGGAATCCCTCTGGTTTTGCAGGCAGTGTGGGTGAAGAAGAGAGAGCGCGTTGGGCCCCACATTGCAGCTCTGTTGAATGGAACACTGGAGTCCCAGACCAGTCTAGGAACGGACTGCATTCGCGAGCCTGCAGCCCACCAAGGGCTGTGCGTGTGTGTGTGATCCTAGTAGACATAAATCCATGAAAACCCAGGCCTCTGACAGCTCTTCTAGGGCCAGCAAAAGAATTGGAGCTGTGCTCACCTCCCACCCTCACCGCAAGGCAGGGGCTCCGGCTGCACTTGAGGGTCAGTGTTTGGAAAGAGTAGGTTCCCCATTTAACCCATCACTGAGACTGCTGGGCTGCTCACCTGCCCCACTACACGAACAGACTGTGAGTCACAAAGTTTCTTAGGGGAGAGGATGCTGAGAGCCTGGTGGAAAGGCTCAGCAATTGGTGGGCTTCCTATTGAGAGATAGAGAGGAAGACAGAGAGAGAGAGAGAGAGAGAGAGAGAGAAAGGCTGACTCAACTTTTTCATCAGTCCCCTTCCCTGCCCAGTTGCTCAGAAATACATTTGCATTTCTGATCCAGGGTGAGACATCAGCAGGTCCCCTCAGCAAGTGCTATTTCTTTTGGACCAAGTTGGGGAGGAGGAGTTGGCCTGAGAGGCTGTGCTGCTGACCACTGGGGACTCTGGGGAAAGGTAACAAAGCAGTTGTGCTTTCTAAGTTGAGGGTTGTGAGATATGTATGAGTATGTGTATTTTTTTACTCTCTCTGTTTTCCCCCTATTCTTTTCTGCAGAGGGAGCAGCCTGAAGCTGCAGATCATTTGACAAAAGCATGTGACTGCAGGGGCACCTGCAGTGGGGAAGGAGTTAGGACAGGCTCATCAGAATGGGTCAGAATTAGGAACTGGGTTCTGCTGAGCTGCCTCATTGCATTTAGTCCAAGATAATTTAGTAACTTAGCCGAGCTATCTGAAGTTGGGGGTCCCAGGCTGCCTCTGTTGTACGAAGCAAGACAAGGAAGAGCTGGACAGTCAGAAAGGTGAATTGGGGAGCCAGCGCATCTGGGTGCTATTTTGAGATACATCACAGATATTCATTTCTCTTTTATAATATATTTTTATTTCTCCAGATGCAAACAGAGATGGTATTTACCCTGAATGATTCATAGAAAGATGATAATGAAGGAATCCTCTGGGCAGTTGCTGTCAGCAAAGGAAAGTCACACCAAGCTTGGGTGGGAGATTACTGAGTTGCTGGTGCAGAGTCTGGTCTTAGGAGGTGTGGGAGGAAGCCCACTCCCCCTAGTGAGGACTCAGCTGCCTGAATATACTCATTTGAGTATATTCCTGACTTTCATGAAAAGAAAGGGTTTGCATGATACTTAAAATCATTTTCTCACCAGAAGTCAATAGAGTGATGAAAAAAAGTGTGACTAAGGAGGTTGGGGGGAGACGGGCATAGAATTGTATCATTGCTATTTTCCTCGTTTTAAAAGTGATTTTTCCAGGGTGACACAGTTAGATGGAACAGGGCAGAATGAAAACAGGGGCCACCTGGCACCATGCTTCTCCCTCTCCCACCTCCCAACCTCCCCCATGCATCCTGTAAAGGCTCATTAGAAAAATACCATCTAGGATTTAATTAACTGATGGGCTGAGAGGCCCAGCTGTGGAGCCAGAAATCACCTAAGAGCTTTAGGTAAACGTGTCCCTTGTCCACCCACCTTGGTGACTTGAGCCACTGTACATTTTTCTTCCCATCTTTCCAGCTCTGGAAGAGCTCCATCTCCCATCCTTCCCACCCCTCACCCTACCTCTGCCCTCCACAGCTCAGCCTTCTTCCTTCTGCTTTTGGAAGGCTGGGAGCCCCATGTCTTTGCTAAGGACACAGTGCTATCTAGGATAAAAAGAATCCTTGTTCTGGGGTCATCCCACCTGAATCCAGGAATCCTTTCATGGCTGGGTGACCTTAGGCAAGTGGGCTTGTCACTCAGCATTAAACCCCTGTATACAAAGGTGAAATGCCTGCCTGTCTACCTTCCAGGTCTGTTGTGAGCATCATAAGAGGTTCCAAGCTCCTGAGACTGGTTGCTCAAGAGCCTGTCCCCTTGGTGCCCCCTGGACCTGTTCCCTCCTCTCCTGTCTGCCAGCTCGGGCACAGGCCTGTTTGTATCACCTGCCGCCCCCGCTTACACACATACATCACCTCGACTGTGCCAGTGCCAAGCCGCTGAGCTGCTTCCCTTTCTCAGACTCACCCCAGCTGTCTCCTCACCAGTCAGTCATCCCTAAACCTATCACTTTCTGGAAATGGCTCGCTAAAAGCACAGAGTGACTTCCCACAGTTTTGTGTGGGAATCCTATAAAGGCAAATTGACAAGGGGCGTGAAAAAATAAAAGCATTTTTACTGGGGTGAGAAGATCATTAGCAAATTCTCTGCAAAAAATGGATTTCCCATGAGTTTTCTTTTTGTTAGAATTATACAGCTAAGAATTTCCCTGTTGCTCTCACCTGGGCTTGAGCTCCCATTACCACAGTGAGGTGACACAGAGCTCTGAGAAATGCCACCCTCTGAATTAGGGCAGACAGCGAGAAGGGACGTTTGGAAAGGATTTCCCCAACCACAGTCTGTGCACCCCGATCCCACTAACACCAAAGCTGCCCTAATTCTCCCTCACCTCTGAGTACTGCCTCATCCTCAGCAAATGCCTCTCTTCCTGCTCAGTGGTTGAGAATGCTGAATGTAAGGAAATAGCAACAGTGAACAATGTTTTGAAAATGTGCTTGGGCTGGGGGCGGTGGCTCATGCCTGTAATTCCAGCACTTTGGGAGGCCAGGGTGGACAGATCACCTGAGGTCAGGAATTCAAGACCAGCCTGGGCAACATGGTGAAACCCCATCTCTACTAAAAACACAGAATTAGCCAGGCCTGGTGGCACGCACCTGTAATCCTGGCTACTGGGGAGGCTGAGGCAGGAAAATTGCTTGAACCTAGGAGGCGGAGGCTGCAGCGAGCACAGATAGCACCACTGTTCTCCAGCCTGGGCGACAGAAAATAACAAAAAATAACAAAACAAAAAAACACTGAAAATGTGCTTGGCGGCATCCTACTCGGTGAGTGAGACTGTGGCCAAAGGCGTGGAGAAACTGCAGGGCAAGCAGGCTCCCCCTGAGGGCAAAGTCTCACCTCTGCAGTCTCACCTCTGCAGAAATCTCCGTAGACACCCTGCTCCTCCTCCCCAGCGACCCCACAGCACATATGCGCATGTGCACACACAGGCACCAGCCTCCTCCCCCAGATCCTGTGATTTCTGCAGCCCCATGATGCCAGGTATGGCTTGTGCATGTGGGAGCTGTGTGCCCTGCCCCCTCCTACCCATCACCCCAACTCCTTTATTCCCCTTGAGAATGGGGCCAGGTGAGTATAGCTTGTTTTCTCTCCTGCTGCTCACAGTTCAGTGAATTCACGTGGCCAGAGTTTTTTTCTTGTCCCTAAATAAAAATAAAAAGGTGATATCTTATTACAGAAAATCTGGAAAAGAGTGGAGGAAAAAAAAATCATCCACAGTTCTACCCATTTAAAGCAGCCTTCTACAGATGACAGCAATTACTGCCTGGTTTTGTGTTCACCTCCTTGGCCCTTTCCCTTCTATTTCTTTCTGATCGTTCAAGGAGCACCAAGAACCCCACAGCCTGGGTCTGAACCATAGCTCTGACCCTCGGGTAATCTTGGACCTGAGCGTTTCTCAGCCTCTTTCCTGCCTCTGGAAAGATGACGGCAATGTTTACCTCATAAGAGAGATGAGTTAGGATAAGAGAACTGCCGCCGCTTCCCTTCCCTTGGCCTCCCAAGGTACTGGGATTACAGGCATGCACCATTGTGGCTGGCCCTTAATTTTTTTTAAAGGCAAAAATAAAACAGATAAAAATCTATGTTCCTTAAGATTAAGAACAGCACTGTGATACCGTTCCTTGTATCAAAGAAAAAAATCTAATATAAAAAATCATCTAATCTCGGCCAGGCGCGGTGGCTCACGCCTGTAATCCCAGCACTTTGGGAGGCCGAGGCGGGTGGATC